GTGGTGGCTTATGTCTGTAAGCTCAGACCTCAGGGGGCTGAGGCAGGAGGAGTGCCAGGAGTTCAAGGCCTAGTCTAGAGAGTGAGACTATCTCAACAAGTAAATGAGTAAGTGAAGGGTTGGGGTTGCAGGTCAGTTGGCAAACTGCTTGCCTAGCCTGTGAGAGGCCCTGGTTTGGATGCCAGCACCTGGATCCCAGTGGAGGCAGGAGAATTAGGAGTTCAGAGTCAACCTCAGTTACATAGTGAATTTGGAGTCAGGCTCTGATACAAAAAAGATGAGATCTCTCATGGTAGCACATGCCTGTGATCTTAACACTGGGGATGCTGAGGCAGGAGGATGGTGAGTTTAAGACCAACCTGTGCTACATGAGTAGTTCAAGGCCAGACTGAACTCTATAGCACGACCCCGTTTCAGAGAACAACAGTGGGTTGGGGATGTAGCTCAGTGGTAGAGCGCTTGCCTAGCAAGCACAAGGCCCTGGGTTCGGTCCTCAGCTCCGGAAAATTTAAAAAACAAACAAACAAACAAAAACAGAGAAGAGCAGTGTCAGACTCAACAAGAATGATCAAATGATCCAGCCGCAGCCAGAGGTGACAAAAAACAGGGAGCATGTAGAGCTGAGGGAATATGGCCTCGATGAGGGGGTCCTTGGGTGTGGCTAGCACACTGTGGGTAGATAGCCTGGAGATGGAAGCCAGGCTGCAGGATGCTGTGGGAGGCAGGGTGGGCCCCTGGATAAATCGTAGGCCTCTGGAGGCAGATGTCTGGATTTGAACGTGGCTCTGCTGCCTACTGGCTATGACCCTGGGCAAATCATTTAAGTTCTCTCTGCCTCAGTTTCTCCAACTGTGAAATGGAAAGATACTATTATAAAGGTTGGTTTGGGATAAAGCCATTGGACAAATACCAATGTATTATCAACTAATATTTCCTGGGATGCTTTGAGATTGAGGTTCAAATTCCCTCAAAGCAGGTTTACCATGAACCAGAGAGGAGGTAGGGCATTCTGGCCAAAAGAGACCCTGACCCAGGGGTTCCCGGGGTAGGGTGTGTTGAGAGTGGGAGGCTAGAAAGAAGGCTCCTCTTGGAAGGCTGGCAGGAGGGTGCTAGGTCTCCCCGACACAGGATGCACACCTTTGCTTTTATTTGTTTGAGACAGGGTTTCTCTGTGTAGTTTTGGTGCCTATCCAGGATCTTGCTTTGGAGACCAGGCTGGCCTCGAACTCACAGAGATCCGCCTGGCTCTGCCTCCCGAGTGCTGGGATTAAAGGCGTGTGCCACCACCGCCCGGCGGGCTGCACACCTCTTCTGGCTCCTCCATTCCTTCCATGTCCCCAGCCTACTCCTGAAGTCAGGGGACCCTGCCCTCCGACTCCTCATGCCCTCTTCTCTCCAGGCACCTGGCGACCCCGCAGATCCATCATCTTCGCCAGCTGGGGGGCAGAGGAATTCGGGCTCATTGGCTCTACGGAATTCACAGAGGTGAGTGAACCCCACAAAGGAATGGGTGGAAGGGGTTCTTGGATGGGGCTGTAACAGACTGGGGTGTTCCCCCACCCTGTAGGAGTTCCTCAGCAAGCTGCAGGAGCGCACAGTGGCCTACATCAATGTGGACATCTCCGTGTTCGGTAGGGGAGCTTCTGCCAGCTGCGGTGGGCTGGAAAAGGGAGGAGCTGGTTCTGAACAGGTCTCCTTGATTCCTCCCACAGCCAATGCTACCCTCAGGGCACAGGGGACGCCCCCTGTACAAAGCGTGATCTTTTCTGCCACCAAAGAGGTATGGGGGAGGGGTGATGATCCAGTGGGGTAGGCAGGATTGGCCCAGGACCACAGTGGATCTGGAGATTGGAGTCTGGCAGGGACCCCATCCAGTTGCGGAGGCTGCGTTTCCTGAGCCATCAGATGTTTCTCTCTGTACCAGATCAGTGCACCAGGTCCCAGCAGCCTCAGTATCTATGACAACTGGCTCCGATATACCAACCGCAGCAGTCCAGTGTATGGCCTGGTCCCCAGGTGAGCCCCCAAACCAGGAAGGCAGGAGGACCACAGGCCCAGCACGTTCATCAAGCACCCTCCAAATGTTATTCTCTTCTCTCCTCTAGCCTGGGTACCCTGGGTGCAGGCAGTGATTATGCCTCATTCATCCACTTCCTGGGCATCTCTTCCATGGACCTTGCCTACACCTATGACAAGGTGAGCAGAGTCTGCCATGCCCCTCCCCTCCCAGTATTGCTGCATCGAATCTCAGGGGAAGTTCTGGTACAGACTAGCTCTAGCTCATTCACTAAGCAGCTGTGTGTCTTAGTTTTGTTTCCTGCTGCTGTGACCAACACCCTGACAAAAGCGACTTTGAGGAGGAAGGGGTTATTTTGGTTCGTCCAAGTCACAGTCCATTATGGCAGGAAGTCACAGCAGCAGGAGCTCCAGAGAACGTATCCCATTCACAGTGAAGGGCGGAAAGCAATGAGTGAATGCATGATTACTAGTGCCCAGTTCAGTTCCTCAACCCTGACCTAGGGAATGGTGCTACCCAGTATGGTCCTCCCACCTCAATGAATGTAGAGATAGACTCCCACAGACATGCCCACAGGCCATCCCGATCTAGATAGTCCCTTCTTGAGACTCTTCCCAGGTGATACTAGATTCTCAAGCCGACAATTTTAACTAACCATTAACACGGCAACACAGGCCAACTGTCTTAGTTAGGGTTTCTATTGCTGTGAAGAGACACCAGGACCACACTCTCATAAAGGAAAATGTCTAATTGGGGTGGCTTACAGTTTCAGGGGTTTAGTCTGTTACCATCCTGGTGGGACATGGTGGCATGCAGGCAGACGTGGTGCTGGAGAAGGAGCTGAGAGTTCTGTATCTTGATCCTCAGGCAACAGGAAAGGATTGTGTCACTGTAGCTTGGGCAAAGACCTCAAAGCCCATCCCCACAGTGACATACTTCCTCCAACAAGGCCACACCCACTCCAACAATGCCACACCTCCTCATGAGCTTATGGGAGCCAATTACATTCAAACTACCACACCAACTTTCTTAGATTGAGCATGTTTATACTCACTGGATATTTGTGCTGATTGCATTGATTTGAAGATGCTCCATCTTACTCATTCTACAATCCTGTTGTGTCATGTTATTCTTAGTCGAGGAAGAAAAGACGACTGTCAATCAGTTGTAGGATGCCAGTGACTAACAGAACTGCGTTTGGAAATGCTTTTGTGGGTGTCAGCACTGATCAAGCAATGCTAGGGAACTAAGAGGAGTCACACACTGCTGTGGGGACTGAGGTGGCAGCTGCAGCTCCTCTGGCCTGCACCTCGAGTGGACGCTCTAAGGCCCGTTCTCCCACTAGCTCTGCTGCCGTGTGTGGTGGAGCTGGGATCCCCGTATCTGACTCTACTGCCCCAAGCTCCTCCTCTTTCCTATCTGGGAGATACCAGGCAGGTTAGTCCCTGAGCCTCAGGTCCTTCTCTCTTGTGGAAACTCTGAAGCTCACATCCGGGATGTGATGAGGACTGAGGCCGTGCTGACACAGCTCCCACTGTGGCTTTCCCACCCCAAGCCTAGCCCCTCCTCTTCCTTATTCCTCTAGGGCAAGACCTCAGCCAGGATCTACCCTACCTACCACACGGCTTTTGACACGTTTGATTACATGGAGAAGTTTCTGGACCCTGGTGAGGAGGGGACAGGGACATTCTGAGGACAGAAGGATGGGCTGAAGATGCAGTCCTAGCTTCATGTCCCCTCCACAGGTTTCAGCAGTCACCAAGCTGTGGCCCGGACTGCTGGGAGTGTGCTTCTGCGGCTCAGTGACAGCCGCTTCCTGCCCCTCAACGTCAGTGACTACAGTGAGACACTACACAGCTTCCTGGAGGCTGCCCAAAAGGATCTTGGCACCCTATTAGAGAAGCATAATATCAGCCTGAGTATGCACACCCCAACAAAGAAGTTCAGGGAACCCTGTATCCCCAGGCAGAGCTAAGCCAGATGTTCCTCACCCAGGTCCCCTGGTGACCGCAGTGGAGAAGTTTAAGACAGCAGCTGCAGCCTTGGTCCGCCGCATCTCAACACTGCAGAAGAACAGCCCTAAGTGAGCATGGGCAGTGGGCAGGTGTCTGGGAGGGGGCACCAAGGGCACACGTCAAGCTAGCAGCTAGACTACTGGCTTGTGGGGTAACCCACACGCCCTCCAGCCCCTTGCAGGTACGGATGGTCAATGACCAGCTAATGCTCTTGGAACGGGCATTCCTGAACCCAAGGGCTTTCCCAGAGAACCGATACTATAGGTGAGTCTATGCCAAAGCTCCTGGGAGGTGGGGTGGGGCAATGATCTACCCAAAGAGGTTTCCTGCTTCACTGCACAAGCTACTCACGGATGGCTGGGCACGAGGTCCCCCTGCACTGCTAAGCCCTTTCTTTCAGAGACCAGACAGGGGCCTTTTATGCTTGCCTGTGGACAATGCAGAGTTCCAGGCCAACCTCTCACTGACCGTCAGCTTGTCATTTCTCCGCAGTCACGTGCTCTGGGCACCCAACACGGCCTCTGCTCCCACATTCCCAGGTCTGGCCAATGCTTGTGCTAGAGCACAGGACGCCAACTCAGGATCTGAAGCGTGGGCTGAAGTACAGAGGCAGCTTAGCATTGTAGTAATGGCCCTGGAGGGTGCAGCAGCCACCCTGGAACCCGTGGATGACCTCTGACCCAGCCCTAGCTCTTGGGCTCTTCCCTTATCTTGCATCTCACACCTGTTTCTCTGGGACATGTCCCAGTCTTTGCCGAGGCTAGGAGTAGATTAAACCAGGAAACACTCCCAAGCTTTTGAGGCAACAGCCGGGGATCCTTGCAGTTAAACACACCTGCTCATGGTAGTGGGTGAAACTCGGGCCCAAAGTCGAGTGTAGAGGCCTTTGCCCAAGCGTCTTTCTTCTTGCCCTGCTCTTCAATGTTCTCTCTCCCTTCTTAACCCTCAAATAAATGAAGTCTAACAAGTTCCTGTAAAACAAGTTCCTTTTATTGTTTGGGAATCATGAAAAAGAACCCCAGGTGCTCTGGTCCAGTCCTTGGGGGAGACAGAGCCCTCTCAAGCTGGAGATCCAGGTCTGTGTATTTCCCTGTCTTCCTCTGCCATGACCACCTCCTCCAGGGTGTGTCCCTGCAGCTTGCTTCCCACTAATAGGTGGCAGGTACCAGGGGGTGGGAGTCCTTCCTCAGAGTATCGGCCCCTCAGGAATATAACTCTGTCTTTATCTAAGGTCAGTCCATGGGCCCGACACAGGTCCTGTGCTTCGTGGAGCCCATCCAGGGCCAGAAGGTGTACTATGAAGTCCAAAGGCAAGGTCTGTCCTTTGGGAGTGCTCAGGGCACGGGACAGACGGGCCAGGGCTTTGCGGCGGGCAGAGCCAATGTGTCCCTGCACTGCGCAGCTCTGAAGGAAGGGCAAGGTGCGAAGCAGGCGAAACAACCGGGCATGGTTGCCTTCACGGAAGGCAGCGTCAACGGCCAGGGCAGTCTGAAGGGGTGGACAGGCACGAAGGGTGGCAGGCAGCTGCAGAACCTCCTGCAGGGCTTCCACAGATCCTGAGGGCAAGAATCAGAAAGAAACAAGAATGCTTAGTAACTTTTAGATCAGGCCTACCCACCTTATATTCCACCCCTACAGTTCTTTTCCAGAACTTGGTTCTGCCCACCTGCCCACTCCAGTCATGTTCCCTCCTCAGAGAGGCTAGCCCACTTCCTCTCTCCTTCCAACAAATCCAGCCATCACACCAGACCCTTCTCTGATCTGTCTATTTGAGGTGCCACAATACCAGACCTCCTTCAGTCTAAATCCTTACAAGGGGGAAATGGGCATTGTTACATTTACAGATGAGGACACAGGCTGTCTTGAGTTTCTATTACTGAGACAAAATACCATGGCCAATCACAAGTTTGGAGAGGAGGAAATTCATTTGGCTCACACCTTCAAATTGCTGTTCATCACTAAGGGAAATCAGGACAGAAAGACAGCAGGACAGGATCCTGGAAGCAGGAACTGATACAGGGCCATTGGGGTGCTGCTCACTGGCTTGCTCAGCCTGCTTTCTTTTTTCCCGTTTTTCAAGACCACCACAGTGGGCTGGGCCCTCCCTCCCCCATTGATCACTAATTGAGAAAATGCATTACAGCTGGATCTCATGGAGCCATTTCCTCAACTTAAGCTCTTTCCTCTCTGATGACTAGTTTGTGTCAAGTGGACACACAAAACCAGCCAGTGCACAGGCCAAATACAGGCTTGCCTGAGGCTGTCCTAGAGAGCTCAGGCTACTCCTGCTAGACCCAAGATTTCTGACTTGGGTTTCCCACTGTCTGGGTTGCAGTATCAAAAGGATTTTGGGTGCTGGCTTCTTCACCACACTCCTACTTCTCCATCTGGAAAGGTCATTTTTTGAAGAAAACTCTTCCTTTCCAGGAAATCTTGGCCACTGGAACCTTGGGCCACTTTTTATGAAAGAATCCTGTATAATAAAGCAACCTCTGGAGGCATCACCATCCCTAACATCAAACTCTACTATAGAGCTATAGTAATAAAAAACAGCTTGGTACTGGTATAAAAACCGACATACGGACCAATGGAATCGAATTGAAGACCCTGACATTAATCCACGCACATATGAACACCTGATTTTTGACAAAGAAGCCAAAACTATACAATGGAAAAAAGAAAGTATCTTCAACAAATGGTGCTGTCATAACTGGATGTCAATATATAAAAGATTAAAAATAGGGCTGGAGAGATGGCTCAGAGGTTAAGAGCACTGACTGCTTTTCCAGAGGTCCTGAGTTCAATTCCCAGCAACCACATGGTGGCTCACAACCATCTGTGATGAGATCTGGTGCCCTCTTCTGGCCTGCAGTCGTACATGCTATATACATAATAAATAAATGAATCTTAAAAAAAAAAAAAAAGATTAAAAATAGATCCATATCTGTCACCATGCACAAAACTCAAGTCCAAGTGGATCAAAGATCTCAACATAAATCCAGCTACACTGAACTTAATAGAAGAGAAAGTAGGAAGTACTCTTGAATGCATTGGCACAGGAGATCACTTCCTAAATATAACACCAGCAGCACAGACACTGAGCACAACAATTAATAAATGGGACCTCTTGAAACTGAGAAGCTTTTGTAGGGCAAAAGATATGGTCAATAAGACAAAAAGACAGCCTACAGAATGGGAAAAGACCTTCACCATCCCCACATCTGACAGAGGACTGATCTCCAAAGTATATAAAGAACTCAAGAAACTAGACATCAAAATACCGAACAATCCAATTAAAAAATGGGCTAAAGAGCTAAACAGAGAATTCTCAAAAGAAGACAAATGGCTGAAAGACATTTAAAGAAATGCTCAACATCCTTAATCATGAGAGAAATGCAAATCAAAACGACTCTGAGATACCACCTTACACCTGTCAGAATGGCTACGATCAAAAACACTAAAGACGGTCAATGTTGGAGAGGATGTGGAGCAAAGGGAACACTCCTCCACTGTTGGGAATGTAAACTTGTACAACCACTGTGGAAATCAGTATGGCGGTTTCTCAGAAAACTGGGAATCGATCTACCTCAAGACCCAGCCATACCACTCTTGGGTATATACCCAAAGAATGCTCCATCATACCACAAAGAAACATGTTCAACTATGTTCATAGCAGCACTATTTGTAATAGCCAGAACCTGGAAACAGCCTAGATGCCTGTCAACTAAAGAATGGATTAAGAAAATGTGGTACATATACACAATGGAGTACTACACAGCAGAGAAAAACAATGAAAGCATGAAATTTGCAGGCAAATGGATGGAACTAGAAAATATCCTGAGTGAGGTAACCCAAACCCAGAAGAACAAACATGGTATGTACTCACTCATAAGTGGATTCTAGATATAAAGCAAAGAACAATCAGACTGCAACCCACATAGCAGGGGGGACCCTAGGATGACTGTGGTTTATAATAAGTTTTGGTTTTAGCCGGGCGGTGGTGGCGCACACCTTTAATCCCTGCACTCAGGAGGCAGAGCCAGGCGGATCTTTGTGAGTTCGAGGCCAGCCTGGGCTACCAAGTGAGCTCCAGGAAAGGCGCAAAGCTACACAGA